CATGCCTTGGCAGTGTTTGGAGGTGCAGGCGGCCAGCATGCCTGTGCTGTGGCCCGCTCTCTGGGCATGAAGACAGTCATGATCCATAAGTACGCAGGCATTCTCTCTGCATTTGGCATGGCACTTGCTGATGTCGTCCATGAGGCCCAAGAGCCATGTGCCAAGAATTATGACCCAGGTAATCCAATTTTCCTTGATATATGACTGGTCATTCTTCTTCACTTTAAGGCAGTGAAGAATGGCACTGCTGATTTTTACTCTTCAGGATTTTTTTAATTTAATCCAGATTTTTACAATATTCTTGTATACTTTAGAGAAAATAGGGCAAGTAACTATTTATTCTTCATGAAGGATACTAAACATGTTTTTTTTCTTTTTTACTCAGTCAACATGCTCTTCCTTCCTGTTCATTAATTTTTCACCATCTTACAACTCTGCAGACAACTTTGCGTACTTCGAATCCCGTCTCACTGCCCTAGAGAATGAGTGTAATGAGGCTCTGATGAGGCAGGGTTTCTCCAGGGTAAACATTGCCTGCGAACCATTCCTCCACCTGCGCTACCAAGGCACGGACTGTGCACTCATGGTTACGCCTTTGAAGGAAAAGACGCGGGGAAAACGAAAGTCATATTCGTATGTTGATTTCCAGACGGCCTTTTTGGAGAGGTGGGTTTTGTTTTGTATTTTATTACTTTTTCTTTCCTTCTGAAGTATGTTAGTGACTAATGTGTGTGCTTGTTGATGTTTTCATTGTTTCTATGATTATTATTACCTTTATCATCATCAGTATCATGTTAAAGACTTATTGGTATTCTTATAATTTTTTAAAGGTACAAGAGAGAGTTTGGATTTGTAATCGATGATCGAGACATAGTTGTGGATGACATCAGAGTCCGTGGGGTTGGGAAGTCTCAGATATCAACTGAAGAAATATTGCCGCAAGCCACAGGGGAACCACTGCTGGAGACAGTAAGTTGTGATGCTGTTTCTCTCTCTCTCCCTCCCTCCCTCCCTCCCTCCCTCCCCTTCTTCTACTTCTTCTTCTTCTTCTTCTTCTTCTTCCTCCTCCTTTGTTTCTTTTTTCTTTTTCCTTTTTTTGGGGGGAGGGAATGGAGTATTTCACCCTCAGTTATCTGTCTGTATTGATTTTTTATAATCATTTTCAGTTCTTTCCATTTAATTTTCTTTTTGTAACATTTTCAGGTGATTATTTTCCAATTTTCTGTCTTACTTTCCTTACTTCAGATGTCATGTAATGATAATTCACTAATATATCTTTGACCCAAAAGTTATGTACCTTCTGTACTTTGCATTTACAAGTTGCTTGGAAGTCTTAAATTGGGGCTAAACGTAAGCAAAACTGATGAGTTATACCAACCAATGTATGGCCGCCTCTGAACCAGTCTCAGGAAATTTAAGGCTGCATGTGTTATTTTGCCCGGAAAGGAAAGAAGTCCTTAAATGTCAAGTTCCTCTTTGTCTTTTCTGTTTTTTTCTTTTTTCCATCACCTTTTCCATCCTCCTCTTCTCCAGTCTTAAATAATCTCTATTTCCCCTATGTTTGAAACATTCTTTATGTAATGCTCTTTATACAATATGCAATGTATTAATATTAATGGGTATTAATATTTATTAATATTAATGGGCATTAATGCAATATTGATTAATTTACAGGTGACGAAGGTGTATTTTGAGGAGGGCTATCAAGACACAAATGTGTATCTTTTAGAGTGCCTGGCACCGGGCCACGTCATTCCTGGTCCTGCAATAATTATGGACAAGTTGTCGACCATACTCATTGAGCCAGGTTGGTTGTGTGTGGAGTCCGTTGTGGCAGGAAATAGGACTGTAAGTTAGATTGCTAATTAGCATTGTAAGTGAAGATTGTAAATTAGATTGTTAAAAGATTGTAAGTTAGAATTGCAAATAAGGTTTATGAATAAGACTTGTAATATAATAGGGGTTGTTTGGATAATGAATAGTAGTGCCTCTTTATTTGTCTTTCTATTTGTTCTTTGTCTTTATAGCTACTGTTGATGTGGTGATGATGATATAGATGATATTTTTTTTTATATTAGAATCCTTTTGGTATAAGTTCTTAGATTTATAGATTTTTCTTCTGATAATTGTATCATAGTAGGTGCTTTATAATCTTTTTAAAAAAATCTTAATGTTGGTGGATCTTAGCCCCTTGATGTGAAGTTAATAGACAAGATTATTATTAATATTTTATTTTATCTATTTATTTATTTATTTTTTTATGACTTACATAAAGGGGCAGAGATTCTTTTTTTTTTTGAATGCTTAACTTCCTTCCATTTTCTGTAGGTATAATGGCTGAGTTCATCCTGTGGAATTATGTATGCATTCCTCTTCACCACATCTTTTATGCTATCAACAGGTTGCACAGGCCACATCACAGCCCAGGGGGATGTGCGTATTGAAATAGGCAGCTTGAAAAAGCACATCATTGGCACAGAACTCGATGCTATCCAACTCTCAATTTTCTCGCATCGGTTCATGAGTTTAGCTGAACAGATGGGAAGGTATTAGCTTACCATTTTTAATTGGGGAACTTTGGCTCCTTTCCCCCCCTCCCCCCTTTTTTTTTCTTGTCTACAATAACTCGACTGTTTGATTTTTAGGGGATATTCTGTCCACTAACATCAGGAAGCTGAACCTACATATTAATTGTTTTTGCTTATGATAGATATATTACATTGCTTCAAGACTGAATTATTGCTGATATTTCTTGCTACCATATTAATAACTAAGATGTCTGTATATCCCAAGAAATACTACTAATTAAAAGATCATGGTGATAATGAAGATAATTACAATAATGATGATAATAATAAAAAGGATAAAAATACTAATGATAATAATCCTTATTCTGCAAGGGCAATTAATGCCTCTTTGTGTATATGCTCACAGACAGGTCCCTGACAAAGCTTCTGAAGCCTTATCATAAGTCCCTGTCATTTTTTTAACTTTTCAATTTTTATTTTCAGTTATATTTTTCTTTATTTTTTTTATTTTTTTATTTTTTATTTTTTTTCTTTCATTTGCTTTTAGTTACTTTTCTTCTTTTCTTGTTTCTTCCTTGTTTCTTCTTTCCTCTTCTGCTTCTTCTTTTTCTTTTTTCTTTCTTCTTCTTCTTCTTCTTCTTCTCCGTCTTCTTCTTCTTCTTCTATCCTCCTCCTCTTCCATCTTCTTTTCCTTCTCCATCTTCTTCTTCTTCTTCATCACCACTTTTAAAAAATGAACCCATGTTTTAATCTGTGAAATCCTTTTGTAAGTAACTTTAACGCCACAAAACTTTTTATTTCTTAACCCATTCGCCACGGATTTATGTTCTGTCCTCTGTAGTTTTTGGTGAATTTTGTTACATACAGATGGCTCCACATGTGCTCAGCCGGCAAGGAGTCTGTCAGTAGGCCCTAGTTACCGACCCTGATTTTCCCATTTATTGAATTGGCGGGAAAATTAATACTATTACTATCGATACTGTTATTATTGTTGCTGATGTCATGATTATTAAATTGTCATTAGAATATTTTAGACAATGATATGATACAAAAAACTCTTTCCTAAAGAGAAGAAAAAGGGTAAACAGGTGAAATAGGTAGTTCTGATAAACTGGCTATTTGGTGATTAAGAACTTGTGGAGCCATCTATGTGTAAATACAATAAATAAACGTGTATCAAAGTGGGCATGGCATCTATTCTTGCCACATGTGGCGAATGGGTTAATTCTGATCTTAAACTTTATTTGACTTTTAACTGTTTTCTTTGTAAACAGAATCTGAGATGCTTTTACATGACTCTCTTTAACCCATTGGATATGGTGACACCCATAGTAGCATTCTGGCAGTAAAGCTCAAAATTCCTGTGGTCTAGCCTGCTGTGGGTGGTTCAGAACCTTGACCCATTTGCGACAGGGAAAATGAACAAAAAATGGGGAAAATGCTGTGCTCATTTTTTATATTTTTTTGTGACGTAGATGGCTCTCCCTTACCTGATTTCACCTTTCCTTGAATTGGCGGGAAAATGTATTTTTTACTAGTGCTATGAATATCGATGGTGTTATTTTTATACATTATAAGCACTATATTGTTATAAACAATAGTAATAACAAAATGTTTTTGTGAATTAAAGAAAAGGGTAAACGGGCGAGACAGGCAGTACTCGTAATTGGCTCATTGGTGATTTAGTACAAGTGTAGCCATCTACATGCAAAAACAATTAAACAAGTAAACTCACAGTGGGCATGGCACAGACACATGACATGCCTGTCGCAAATGGGTTAAGCTGGAATACTATCTTGAAGGAGCCAGAAAGACTCTTTAATGAAAATTTCATAACTCTCGGTTTTTCCTTTTGATATGCTGGACCAGCTACTTCCTCTGGATCCATTAGAAGAACTTTTATTGAAAAGGTTAATCGATGTTGATCAGGAAATCATTCCTTTTTTTGCCTTTTGCTTTCATGTATCTATCTTGCTTTCTCTTTGGCATTAGCTGTTTGAGCTGCTACAGTTTTTTAGGTTATAGTATTTTTGTTGTAAAACTGAGTTGTGTTAGTGAAATGAGGCCAGTTACATGCAAAATTCATTCACCGTGACATTGATCCTATGAACAATAGTATGCATATGTGAATTTATTACTTCTGAATCAGTAACTGTAATATAAAGCATGCACAGACCTCTTTTACCAAAATTTCAATTAAATCTGCACAGTAGTAGCCAATGCTGGCATTCAAGTTGAATATTGATATGAATTTCAGCAGAATAAAAACGTAGCCTCCTATCTATTATTATTATACTAATATTGTGTATTGTGTCCTTTTCCAGTAAGTAAAGTAAAAATTGAGACTATAGTATAAATTATTATTTTACATAGATCTGCCTAGAAATGTCATCACTTATCTGTGTATTGCTTCAAATCTTAGAACCAAACATCTCTTGTTCAAATTTTAGGATGTAATTCCTTTAAGTCAAGTTGGGGAAGGACAACAGTGTGTGAATTATATAATTATCCTTTTGGAATGAACATGGGCTTTTTTCTTTCTTTCCTTCTTTTACTTTCAAAGGATTCTTTCTGCTGTAAAAAATGTGGAAACTCTTTGTAAAAGAAAAGTGAAGTGGTTTATGGGTGTAGGTGGCTGGATTGTGCTCATGTGTTTAGAGGTTATGTATGTGTAGGCATATATATGTGTATGTCTGTGTATGCATGAGCGCGTCTGTGCGTGCGCGCGCACATGGGTTTGTATTTCGGGAAGTCATTGAGTGAATGCATAGTGAGCCTACATTCCAGCAACATTATCATTATTATTAAAAGACAGACAATGTTAATTTCACATAGACTTGCTAAACACTACATATTATTTTATAAGATCCATTTTTTACTTTTTTAAAGCATATTTAGTTACATTCCATTGTGTTTATAACTATATTATAGTTATAACTATATTATATCCTCCTGTAGGATTCTCCAGAGGACCTCCATATCTACCAACATCAAGGAGCGTCTGGACTTCTCCTGTGCGCTCTTCGGTCCCGACGGAGGCCTGGTGTCAAACGCTCCTCATATTCCTGTACATTTAGGGGCTATGCAAGAGACCGTGCAGTACCAGGTGTGTGTGTGTGTGTGTATATGTGTGTGTGCGTGCCTGTGCATAAGTTTTTGTGATGAGAAGGTTGCTGCAGTTTCATAGCAGTTTGAACTCTTCATAATATTTAGGGAACTGATAGGCTATGCATTTTGAGGTAATTTGTCCATGATTTTTACCTTTGCTCTATTTTTTCTTGTATTTCAATATTATTATTAGTTAAAAAATTATGTAATGTTGAAGAAATTTTAGCGATCATGAAAACATTAAAAGCTATGCTAATCATGATATAAATAATCCTAATGTTGCTGACACTAGTAGTGATCATAGTTAAACTTAAAACAGTAACAACACCAGGTGTATGTAAGACTCATCACATACTTTCCATCAACTCCTCACATACGTTCTATAACAGCTTCAAGCTTTGGGTGATAGTTTGAGGGATGGAGACGTGCTGCTGTCAAACCATCCTTCTGCCGGTGGCTCCCATCTGCCCGACCTCACAGTTATCACACCTGTCTTCCGAAAGTGAGTGTCTGTTAAGCCACATGGTGCTGGTGAGATTATCAAGCATCTTCAAGTTAGGATTTATTTAAGTGTCCAGTATAAACCTTGCATTGTTTAGTATTTTGTAATATAAATATGATACATAGGTCTTACTTGGAAATGCTTGAGATTCACTGGTATTCTGTAAGTAATTTGATTGCAAATGACAGAAAAGAGTAATATAAAGTGTATGTTATTAACACTTCAGTAGTTCATTTTCAATGGACTTCCATAACTCTGATGAAGATGCAGTATCTAGATGCGAGTATCATTATTAACATTTTCTGCCTCTGAGAAAATGGCACATGTACTTCTCAACAGAAAAACTAATGATAATAGAATCAGAATAATGGATAAAATAGATTCTGTTCTTTTGCATCTCTCATTGCTTGACTGCTTGCTCTAAATGCAATTCCTCGTGTCCAAAGTTCTGAGAACCCACGCCTTTACCACAGGGGTGTTCACAAGCCGGTCTTCTATGTGGCCAGCAGAGGACACCATGCGGACATTGGTGGCATTACGCCGGGTTCTATGCCACCACACTCGACCTCCATCCACCAAGAAGGCGCTGTATTCCTGACGTTCAAGCTGGTCGACCGGGGGGTGTTTCAGGTGAGCGCTTGTCTCTGGTGTTTCAGTGTATTTGGTTATTTATTTTTGATGTTCCTTTTTGTTTTGAATAAGTTTGGGGGGAAGAGTTGGAAAGCTGTTTTTTTCTGGTTCTGGTTGTGTATAGAGATTTTGTTTTGTGTGTGTGTGTGTTGGCATTTCTCTTCCTCACAATATCTAAATAATTGAGGGAGAGATGAAATTCATTTTACATTACTTGTAATAACATGTTAAATAGTACAATTCAAGAATCAGATATGATAGATGATTCAACTATTATTTATATTTATGGCATAGTACAATTTCTAACCAAAGTTTTGGATGTAAATATGTCTTAATGATGGTTTTGTTCACTAGGAGAAAAACCTTATTGAGGCCCTAAACGCTCCAGGCAAGATAGAGGGCTCATCAGGGACTCGCAACCTCAGAGATAACCTGTCAGACCTCCGAGCGCAAGTTGCTGCTAATCACAAGGTAGGAGTTGAATGCAAATTACTTTATATATATATTACAAATATGACCTGCTGTTCCATCAACTTTTTCTTAGAGTTAGCATCTTTATTTCAAATCTATTCTGAAGCTGATTCTGACTACAAGATACTCCCTAAAAAATGTCAAGCTTCATAATTAATCTAAAAAAACTTTGGTAGCCAAACAGCTCTACTGGTCTAACTGCTTGCCAGATGTACATACTCTCTGTAATATGACTGGACTTTCTAGGTGGCACAAACCATT